AGTGGACCGGTGAGAAAAAACGTAGCAATATCGCCTTGTTTTTCTCGTCAAGGAACTCAAAACTTGCGCGTGTATATTGGAAAATTCCCAAGTTTTTCTTTTAAGTTTGCCCTTGTAGTTTGTTTCTGAGCCCCCTTGTTAAGGAACATTTTGCGTGAAGAACAAAATCTGACCGTGTAAATGAGCTGTCAAAGACACTTGTCAAGGAACGCAAGGGGTAAATTTTGCAGCTGAGTAGCTTTTGAGAGAAAACATCATTTGGTGATGGAGAGATGCTTTGCCACTCGAGGCTGGGTTTTGCTCCCTTATTTTCTCTCTTCTGGAGCAGCAAACTTAGGTCGCCCTAAGTTTTTCATTATAAAACGCCACCAAATAAGCAGATGATAGATAAAAATTCTCAGAAATAATTTACAAAAATCAACAGGTATTAAGGATCTCACAACTGTCGACATAGGATAAACAGTAATGTAAACCTCATCATTCCGAACAAGAATTACCTAACCAGCTAAATATATCAGTCACTAGCAAGTAAGGTTTCTCTCACCATCAGAAACAAAAGTGGCATAAAAAAGGAATAAAGAACGAAAATTAAGATATATATATGTAAAAGGATAAAGTAACTAGTTTAACTGGAATAAAATAGTACAAAACTCTCTCACTTATCAAGAACTGAAGATATACCAAGAGTGTTCTTTGACATCATTGTTTTCTTTTCTTTATTCTTCTTTAACTTAAATGTGGTAAAGTTTGGGTTAGCTGACCGCAAGAATAAAAAAGAGACAAACTCGGTTTGGGTAATGTTTTGGTATAACTGAACCTGCGCGGCTGCGATCGGCTGGAAATTTCAAAAGGCCAAAGCAGAAAAAACAGCCATGTTGACGAAATCCTGCATGACTGACCTTGAGCCACTAATAAAAGAAACAAACACTAACTAGAAAAAAATAAGACAGATTTAATTAACCTTTAAGATTGAAATAGTTCAAAATACTTCACAATACGTGTTAGTACGTATTCTGCAAAATAAAACCACATAAATTATCTCCAGGAAAATGTAAATATAACACACAAAACATGATAAGTTGTACTTTAAGAGACTTGATTTATAGAGAAAGCTCACGAAATCTACGATCCGCGTATTTCGGTTGCTGGAAGAGCAGACGTTTTAACAAGTTAAGGAGAGATCCCGCTGTTGATAGATAACAGCTGAAGAACTCTAAAACCTCTTGCAAGTGTAATGACCAATAGGTAGAATTATAATTCAAAAAAGGGCTCTTCATACCGTAAAAAAAAGGCGTGAAGAAGTGGGGAATCAGGGGATGGGTGAAAATGCCTAGCAAAACATTGTGTGCCTTAAAATTCGGACAGTATCTGTGCTGTACTAGAAGAAAGAGAAAAGTCTTGAAAATACCTTGAAGCAAGCTTCCATCTCATGCCAGTTATCCCAAATGTACTTCCGCAGTTGAACCCCAACCATCCCCACCACAGCATGAAAGTCCCTAAGAGCACATTTGTCGGTGAACCCATTTGTTTTGGCACACATGTCCAATAAACACAAACGGATACGATTCGTCAAACTGATGGTCCATTGGTGCCAATGGTACGATTGGTACCAATAGAAAAGCACCCTATTCCAATGGTTCTGTTGGTGCATATGCATCTAATTAAGGGGACTTACATTATTTTCCCATGTGACCTGGTTGGGTACAGGGCAATTCCAATGGTCCATTGGTACCAATGGTACGATTGGTACCAATGGAAAAGCACCCTATTCCAATGGTTCTATTGGTGAATATGCATCTCATTAAGGGGACTTAGATTATTTTCCCATGTGACCTGGTTGGGTACAGAGCAATTCCAATGGTCCATCGGTACCAATGGTACGATTGGTACCAATGGAAAAGCACCCTATTCCAATGGTTCTATTGGTGAATATGCATCTCATTAAGGGGACTTAGATTATTTTCCCATGTGACCTGGTTGGGTACAGGGCAATTCCAATGGTCCATTGGTACCAATGGTACGATTGGTACCAATGGAAAAGCACCCTACCCCAATGGTTCTATTGGTGAATATGCATCTCATTAAGGGGACTTAGATTATTTTCCCATGTGACCTGGCTGGGTACAGGGCAATTCCGATGGTCCATTGGTACCAATGGTGCGATTGGTACCAATGGAAAATGATGCCATTCCAATGGTTCTATTGGTGCAAAACAAGTTCACTTTTACACCAAGTGAAAACGCGCTAATAATTATTATGAACGTTCCTCGTTCTATAAGAAAACCACGCAAAACAAGTTCGCTTTTACATCAAGTAAAAGCGCGCTATAATTCTTATGAATATTCCTCGTTCTATATCCCAATCACGCAAAACAAGTTCGCTTTTACACCAAGTAAAAGCGCGCTATGATTCTTATGAATATTCCTCGTTCTATAAGCCAACCATGCAAAACAAGTTCGCTTTAAAACCAAGTAAAAAAGTGCTAATAATTATTATGAATATTCCTCGTTGCCAACCATGCAAAACAAGTTCGCTTTTACACCAAGTAAAAACGCGCTAATAATTATTATGAATATTCCTCGTTCTATAAGCCAATTACGCAAAACAAGTTCGCTTTTACACCAAGTAAAAGCGCGCTATAATTCTTATGAATATTCCTCGTTCTATATCCCAATCACGCAAAACAAGTTCGCTTTTACACCAAGTAAAAGCGCGCTATGATTCTTATGAATGGAGACCCTTCTTATCACCACTAACACCAATGGAGTCTACTTGTGAGTATTGGACAACCCTCCCCTCGCTCCCCTACTAACAACCGTCTTTGCGTTCTTAAGGTGAGCCATAACTTCATAGAGTTCTTTTTACTTTGCAGTCTCACGGAAGCCAACAAACCTTCAAGTCACAAGTGTTCACAACCTCACCATCACACTGACATGGACAAAACCTGCGCTGACCACCGTGGACACACCAGTTAGCACCAGTCTCCTTTACAAGGTGACCTACACGGTCATCGGAAGTGGTAATCCACAAATGGCCCTGACCGTGAAAACAGAGAGTGCTAAACTAAACTTGCAGGTTGATAAAACCTACAATATTCACGTTAAAGCAATTCGCAGAGACAATCAGTTAGTACAAAGTGATTGGTCGGACTCCTTGAGAGTTGATTCTAAGAATTTGGGTGAGTTTTGATATATGATTTTTTGAAGTTGTACCACAGGCTGCCCAAACTCAGTATGAGAGTTTTTTTATGGTATCATATTGCGTAATCCTCAAAATGGCAGTGATTATAAAGGATTTGTATGGGAATTTAGGTAATAGATTCAAGGAGATAAATAGTCGGTAGGGGTTTCCTATTAAAAAAAACACCCTACCTTAATTACTTGGTTCGTTCTCGCTTTATGCAATTTCCTTTTTTCCCGAGTTACCTGAATTCCCATGCAAATCCTTTCTGTTCGCGGCCGTTTGAGGATTACGCAAAATGATACCACACGTATTTATGATTTAACTCTCATTCTGAGCTTGGGCTGTCTGTGGTCGTACCAAACATTTCTTACGAGCAGATATAGACATAGGCCTGTCCAGTGGGGATGAGGACAGACGATACCAAGATGGGTGACTAGTCCCAATACAATATACTATCCTCCCTTGACGAGACTCAGGTTGTTTATCATGCATTTACATGGGCAAACCGGTCGCTTTGCTGTTTGGGCAACTAATAACCAAATTCAGGATCAGTGAATTTCGACAGGAATCGCGTCTACCATTTGTACAAATCAGTTCCTTTCACCGAAAAACAGCCTCGAAGGCCTAAAACTGGTATCAAAGATGCGATTTTACAAATGTAATTCCGTCCTAAAGCCACTACCACCTTTTCAGATGTTCCCTTGCTCCAGGAAATTTTCTGCTGGAACGACCCAAAAAGTCGTTTTAACTTCCATTTAGTTTCTAACCAGATTTCCCAGAAACTTTTTGTGAATGGTAAACAACCAAAAGTTCCATGCGAGATGCCCCTATACTCAATCCCATAACTTATGAATTCAAAGGTAATCTCAACCCAGGGATTTTCCCTTAAAAATGATTTCCTAAAGAAAAAACCCTGAAGACTATGTTGCATAAATGATAAATTTATTGTTATTATTATTGGAGCTAACTTTCAAAACAACTGCTCCACAGAATGTCACTGATAACACGTAACGTACAAGAGAATCGAAGTATGACTGCACAATAAATGTCACAAAATCTACCTAAGCGGTCCCTTCGGGATTTTCTGTCTACGTCATCCTAACCATTTCGTACTTGCGGGCGTAAACAATAGAAACGTCATCATTACCTACCGATTCCTCGCGGCCCCTGTTCAAGCAAATCGAGATTTTTTCTGACATACTGACTGTATATTGCAACTGTCAGTACTTTCCTTAATATACGCGCGAGTTACTAGAGTGCCTCCTCGAGGGCGAAATCCCTCAGGGGGCAATAAAATAGAACCTCTGAATACTGAAAGAGCATAACAGTTTCAGTCATGTCTAAAAATTTTAGTCCAATATAACGAATGTTGTCGGGGAAATTACACGTTAAAAACTCGAAATTTTACCAAGAATGTATGGCCTATCATTAACTTTTTTGTCCAGTTTCCTTCAATATTGCTTGCAAAGAGCTGAAATTGCACAAATTGTTCAAGTTAATCAACTCTTTCAACTTTTGAATTTAGTTCGTCTAGAAGGCCATGGCTTCTGTGAATTAAGTAGTATGCAAATGAGTAAACATGTAAACAATGATGTCAGCAAAGATTCGCCTATATGCTTCAACCTAGTTGCCCACACTACGGACTAGGGTGAGGTCTGGGCACGAGATTAATATCACTGCTGTTTTTCTATGTTGTAGCTCCAGGGAAGATAGCCAATCTTCGTGTAGAACGCTGGTCAAGATTGGTAGTCTATTTGGCTTGGGATGAAACACGAACAACTATAAACGGCAAACCTGATACGTCTGACATATCTTACATGATTCGATACAGGGAGCTTGCTAACTCAGAGACAAGGCAAATCAGACGATGCACAAATCAAGTTTCGCTGCGTCTCCTTGCAAAATCAAGGTATGCCATAGATGTGAGAGCGTTCAAGAAATTCATCCCGTCTGTGGTTGGACCTTGGTCGGACAAATTAACTCTTCAAACTAATGAATCCGGTGAGTATTGGGCTTTCCAGGTGTCCGTTTCTAGAAGGTCCAGGTAAATTTTCGGGTCCGAAATCGAATATTCAAATCAATATCTTTACCAAGGATTTCAGTTAGTACGCAGCCCCCAGGATTCATGGAGAAACCTTTTCCTGGGTAGAAGGATCACTCGCCTACCTGAGCTACCCCAGGCGAGCCAACTTTTCCTTCATTTTTTTACAAAACTTGGCGAACCGTTGAAATGAAAAAACAAACTCGGGAAGAAGGATTGCCCTCCCAGCAGGGTTTGGATCCGTGAATTTACCGGTAAATAGAGCGTGAATCGGGAAAACTTATGAAATACAGTCGTGATGCGGGAATCATCACGCAGAACGAGTCGACGTCATTAGCTATTCATGACCGCCGAAGCGGCAAATTCGAATGCACGAGCGCTTTCAATAAGCCCTGAATAAGAGAAGAAAGGACCTCTTTTGGTCCACCAGCGTTGACAAAACTAATTCCTTAGCCCCAAAATTACAAAACCATGGACGGAAAATTGAAAATAAATGATATATCAATGAGTTAAGCAAAAGAAATAAGCGTTTTACGAAGTAGAAGAACTATCCCTTTGCACTTGAAAATTGCGGAAAAAAGGACATTTTTTGTATGGAAGCTGCCTTTCAGCGCAATTTTCCGGAAACCAGCAACGAAATCCTTTAAACCACGGACGGAATATGTTAGATTGGTCTTTCATTAAGCAGAATACTTTTAAACTTTTACAATTTATGGGCAAGAACCACTGTCCCTGCGAGTTTTAAAAAGTCTGGTAGAAACGTAGCCTACCTAAGACCAGGAAGCTATCGTTTTAAGTCTAGTAGGAATAACAATGGCTGTCAAAACTAACAGTACGCAATTGAAAACCACTTGGTTATGAAGTAAGCCATTAGCTGTTGCTGCGAACTTTAAAATATCTATAAGCCACTCGACTAAAATTATTAACCTAATAATCCAAATCATCCAAGCGTATGCTCTTCACTAGAGAAATGAATAGAACAAGTAAAAGTTTACTCATTGACTTAGTAACTATATATAGTATATATAGTATATATTCACTGTGACGCGTGATCCTCCAAAACATCGTAGTCCGTGAATCGAGATTTCTACCGATAAAACAGAAATAAGTGTCGTGATGACGAGGGTTCAAAGTTAAACCATGGAAAAGTGAAAACTTGTCGAGCTTCGATTTTACAGCAATAAAATTCACTGCCAGTAAAATTTGTAGTCGTTAAATAAAAAGTAGAGTATCACCAGTTTCATCAACATACTTTTTGATTCAAACCGATCACAGGGTCATCTAAGAATAACTCTTGCCTTAGTAGTCCAGCAACCGCTAAGAATCATTGATGGACTTGATCAGTTCGTTACCTAATCACGTGATTCGTAAAATGACTCCAAAAGGGGGAACGTGATTCGTGAATGTACGGAAATTTAACCCGCGATTCGAGATTCAGTACCCTGGGTGCCAGAGACTTTTCTAGCGCGGTTTGCGGCTTCGTTACTCGTGGCTTCGGCCTACGGCCGAAGATGAGTCAGTAGGGTCACCCTTCTAGCTGGGCTACCGTTTCTCCGTATAAACGCTTTGGCTCGCCCAGCCGGTTCAACTCGGTCGAGGCAAGACAATCAGTACATGGGCGAGCGCTGTTGTCAGTTCTTGGCTCGGGCAATGGGTCAATGTTTTTCATTAGAGAGCTATAGATTCGAGGACGACATTCAATTAAAAGTTTTCTCGTCTATTCTCTAAAAATAGACGCCCCGGAAAGTTTCTTTGTACTTTTTTTTCACCACAAAAGTTTGCTTTTCAACTTATCTTAAACCGTGAAGGAGATCATTGTTTTTTATTATTATTTTCAGTCCCAAGTAAGCCACCTTCAAATGTCAAAGCTGTTTCCAATACACCCTCCTCGATAACCGTCTCTTGGGACCAAATACCTGGGAATGGACAAAATGGCGTCATTCAAGGATACGTTGTATTTTACCGTGATCAAAGTTCGTCCTTATGGACCGAGAGCGATGTCAAGCTGAATTCTTCCCTCGAACTGACAAATCTGGTAACTGGAAAGCATTACACCGTCTGTGTTGCGGGGTATACGAAAGTGGGACGAGGAGTGAAGTCACCTCAGATACAAAACATTGTTGTTGGAGGTAAAATTTATTTCCTTTGCAAGAAAGGTCCTGTAAAAATGTACCTAAAGCATAGTCCCTGTTTTTATGACGCAGATAAAAATTTCGTTTAGGACTGGATACATTATTACTCCGCCACTAAGAGCCAGCAATTTTCAAAATTGAGCTAAACAGGTTTTAACTTCTTGGTAATTAGCGCAAACTTACTTTAGGAGCCCGGTTCTTGTTTTCTGAAGAAAAAATTACATTCACCATTCACACATTGCCCATAACTAGGCTTTGAGAGACTGTGCTAGAAAAGCAGCAGAACATGCTACTAGCAGCGCTCGTATATTTCAATCAAAAATTATGCCTAGTGTTATTAAATTATGCTCATTTAAGTAAAAAAAAAAGAGGCAGAAATTGCGCTTTTACTTTTTACTTTAAATTTCGTAAAAACACCTCAATAACTATGCAACAAACAAGTAAATGGCAAATACACTTACCCTATTAACATCTACAAACTTTAAGAGTGCATAATTCATTGTTTGACAACTATATATATAAACAAAAACGAAGAATTTTACAATCAGCACGCGGACGCCATTTTGGGTAACCGAGCTAGTTATGCGCATGCGTTGAGTCCTATGGGAAGAGTCCTAGGCCGGTCACTTCCAAAGGGACCCAGTTTCCATGAATGTGACCATAAGCAGACAAACAAGTCTGGTAAAAAATCAATAAACGATAATTTTGTGTTGCAAAGCTAATCAAAAGTGCAAATTATGCTAGCAGTGCTTTTTTCGGAAGATAGATGTCAATTAAGCTCGTAAAGACAAATTATGCCAAAAATTATTCTGGCACAATCTATATGAAAGCCTACCCGTAACACACCTTGTTTTGCACCCCACTCCTGGAAACAAAAAAAATTTTCATGACCATTACTTCAGTAGTCGCAAATAATACTTATTTTCCTGAAAACAGAAAACAAAAAACCTTCGTTTGGTTCTCTATTGATCTGTACAGTCTGAAAGGTAATATATCCGCGAAGTTCCAATATTGTGATTGGATTCATCTCGATCGCGCTCAAATAGCCTGCATAGCAAGCGTTTCCGCGCGTGTTCGTCGAAAAAGTTGGGACGAGAGTAAAAAATTGCGGTCACCGACGGTTTACTCGAGTTATGTGGGCTTGGAACCTTTGCGTAACGGGTCGCTTGCTGGTTGTGTAACTTGCTTTTTACAGGTTTTTTTTGTATTGTTTAGGCCAACGTAAAACCACGAAAAAGACCGTCATGCCAACAACACGTAAGTATCGTATTGTTCAGAATTTTACTTAATTAACCATACATTTCATTCTTTGATTTTCAGTTGCCCTAAGTTGCAATTTTATCGTTGTGCGACACGGCTTTGCCAGTGAAATTACGTGATCGTGATCGTGAAATTACCCGTGAATACGACATTCGAATAAACAATGAGGAGTGGGGGCTCTGTACAAGTCACTTGTGAAAGTCTCGAAATCTGCACTTGTATATTCTTAAAATTCACTTTTTGGGCAACACGCAAAGCAACGCGTCCGGTTTCAAACTTTGCGCAGCAACTCCTACCAGCACGCAACAACATGCAGCAGGGTGTGGACGCAAAATGTAACATCCAACAATGTTGGGAGTTTTGGGGCAACAATCTTGCGTCTGTTTGCACGGGGCTCAAAAGATACCATTCTTAAACACAGAGCCAGATACATGAAGGAGTTAAAGTAACTTTAAGCTGTCATTGATTACTTTCTTTTTAAGGTCTTCGCTACTGCTGCTTTCTTTATCAGGCTCCCCATGCATAGCCCTGAGCGGTAGCTCGATGGCGTAAATATTCGCGGTCCATCCTGATAACTGTATTAAAAATTGATACCAACATTATAATTTATAACTGACGTACCTTAATGAGACGACAAATTTTTCCGCCGTTTCAAATGGGATTCCTCCAGAGACAATCGCTCTAAATAAATCACCACGTTAATATTTGAAGGCTTTCGAAGCTCAAGGAAATTAATTTCTTAGCCTGATTTTTTTCACAGTAATATCAACAAGCACAATAAAGAAAACAACAAAGCTGAGTTCCAAGTCTTCTACATTAACTCCTAAAACAGGTAAGTGCTGCGCATGAATGCAAGTCTATATAAGGCCTAGGCCAATCGTCGAACTTCTCATGAGACCGCGAACCAAACTCTGATTTAGGTTGACCTAATATTATTGAGATCGTCTGTTGGGTCAGACGTCGAACTTAGGACGCCTCGAAACAATCAACTGAATCGGACCAAAAAGTAATTTTAGGCGGCCAGTGATAAATTTTCTCCCGAACGAGGTTACATACACATTTCAAGTTTCACATTTATCAGTTCAGTTCATCACATGTGAAGATCGACGTTTGTCCGGGAGATGATCTTTAGACGTTCTATCCGTCTAAAGAAGACGGATAGAACGTGTTGGACGTTGCAAACTTATTCAGACGAACTTAACTGGGCCGGAAGTCGAAATTTTCATGAACTTAACTCACTAAGTTTGGTTCGTCTCGCGAAAAGTTGGACGTTTGGCCTAGGCCTAACAGTTCACGACAATATCTTTAAAGCTTCTCTCAGGTTACCGAAACAACAGTCCTGAACGAAAGATGAAAACGTTGAGTCAAACTGCGGTTAGTGTTATGCAGCTGGTCCCCGATTTTCCCCGCCCCCATCTTCTTGACATGTTTAAACTTCTCATTTTTCTCAATGATCCCTGTTCCTCACAGTTTTATCGCACACGCCTAAGACAGCAATAACAAAACCGTCCAAAACAAGAGCTCTAGAACTTATTAGCACATTACCAGGTCAGTGGATCATTGATTCTCCTCTCAGAAATAAATTGCTATGTATCACTTACATTATTTCCCTGAAGGCCATATACTGAATTAAGGGGGAATATACAGGTATCTGAAATTCATGCTTAACCGCCAGATCCAAATGTCGGGGTTTGAAAGAAGTATACTACTGATTAGTGAGCTTGGCGGGGGGGGACTGTTTGGTCTGCCTCCCATCCCCTCCCATTAAAAACAAGTAGTATTGAGCAGGAGAAGTTGGGGATCAATTGAGTTTTCTGGAAAACCGACCACCTACCCCTCCCCTAAGTCAACATTAACACTTACTTCTCACTTAGCACAAAATCGTGACTTAGGGGAGGGGTAGGTGGTCAGTGAACCAGTCATTGATTCCGCCATTTGGCCATGAATGAAAAACGATTGCAATGATGTGGATACATGTTGCTGCTTTGAGGTATCGAGTAAACCAAAATCCTCCGCTTGCAATAAATAAGGTCTGTTTCAGGATATTTATATGTGTTTATATTGCTTACACTATGTTTGGCCACCCAAGTCTGATTTGAAGTATTCTAGCCAGGATTGTCTCTGTTACAGGTGTGGTCTTTTCTTGAGTCCCTAAAACAACAAAGTCTACTGATTCCAAACCAGTTAAGGAAACAGAAACAGAAGCTGTTACGCATCAATCAACGCCTTCAGCTGCATTGGTCAGCGATCTAAAAGTTATTGTGGTCAATTTTTTTACTAGCTTTTTGTCTCACTGAAAATTGTTGGGACGCCGTCATACTTCCCCAATTCGGATGTGAGAAGGATTTCGCAAATTGCTGAAAAAACGAACATAAAACTCATCTCAATTTCGCAGTTGTGAAAATAGGGACTTGTACAAATACAGATTTTTCAATTCCAACGTCTTGTCAGAGTATGGGTGACTTCTTTCCTCTTCTCAGTTCTCCCATCAAAATGTCTAACATTGTGTACTAGATGTGTTAGAACATGATATATTCTTTCCCGTAGCCTGCGTTGCTAAAAGGATAAGCGGGCGAGTTCTGTAGAAGCCAGGCTAGTGCTGTAGTATTGGCGGCAGAGCAGCAAGAAGATAAGGAGGAAATCAAATTGAAATCCCCCGCTCGGACAGTGGTCTGACAAAATACCACAGTGATAACAGTGCCAGCTACGCAGGCAACATTAATTTTATCATCACTTTCTTCTTGATAAATGCCGGGGACAATGCAGCGACCATTTTCAAGGTGTCACCAGTAACCGTCCTAAATAACTTTTATTTTACTTTCTGTTGTTTATAGCTGAGAACGATTCGAAATCTGGCTTCGGTAGCAAGATTCTCTCGATTGGAGTATCAGCAGCTGGTGGTTTTTTGTTGCTTATAATATTAATACTTGTCATCGTCTTGGCAAGAAGGCGCACGCGCAAGAGGAGACAGCATGAAAATGGCGAAACTCCACTGCAGGTTAGTTACACAAGAGAAAGATCAAATGACGTAGTCATGAGGGGTATTTCTAGCATTAGATCTGGGCCCCCGCAGTCTCAGCTTCACCTCGCTGGTGAATCTATGACGGAGCGATTGGTACCAAATTTGCCCCACGATGCAGGTCAAGATGCGGTGGCCACGTTCAAACCTAGAGGTAGTTTTGCCAGAGTGAAGGCCGAAAATACCACTCTTTTACCAACTGAAGATTATTCTGAAGAAAGCAAGTTGCGCGTTCATTTTAATGAAGGCCAAGGGAAAGTCGAAGAGGGCAGCGCTGGGCGATTGTATGACACTATCGGGTGTCCCCCTGGAAACAGCAAAAACGCATTAAAATGTGATGTCAGACAACGGTGTGAAGCCAATGCTTCTCCGCAAGGACACATTTATCAAAATGTACAAGAGTCTGAACACTTATACGACACCCTTAACAAATTCAGGTAGGAACGGCCATATGAAAATACCAGGGTTTTGTCAAATCCTCGGGGAAATAACAGTGATAAGGACGATATGAGAAGATATGAGCCAATACCATTTACATAAAAATAGAACGGTTTACGTCCAGAGGTCTTTGTTATTGTTGCAAATAATGTTTGCACGTGTGCTCTAGCCGTAACTCAAAGAAGAAACCACTCTCAAGGTGGAAGTGAACAAATTCGTATGCCCGGAATAAACGATATTATTATATTTTCTTAATAACAAGCTTTAATTTTTTTCAGTGTAGAGCTTTATTTATTGTCATTCAAGTTCATTTAGGATTTCAATTCAACGAGAACAGATGGCAAATTGTTGCTGCTCGAAATATCTAAAAGTCGTGACTGTTCATCAGTAGGATGCCCAAAACCCGGAGGGCACTCCGCATATGAAAGGGGTGGAGATGCTCGCCGTCTCGCTTAGGGGTGTAAAAAAATTTCGGATTTTGGTCTCACTTAGGGTGTTATGGGCAAAACGCCATCATATTTAGCCGTGAAGGTCTCGTTTAGGGTTGCACGCGAAAAAACATAAAAAATATATATTGTCTGTTTTAACATGGTCTCTTTTAGGGGTCAAAAAAAGCTTGGGCCACGCCCAGATCGGTCTCTTTTAGGGGTTTAATTCAAAATTTCCGACGAACATCCCCACCCCTTTCATATGTGTGAAAACAGTAGATTTTCCTCCTAAGCGACTTCAAATTCCGCACATGTGAAATGCGTCGATTGAACCGCGTACCTCAGGTAAAGCTCATTTGCAATACACCCTAATTATGACTTCAAAATACTCAGGCTCAAATGTGCTCACCAAGGGAAGGTATACCAGTTCTTCGGCAGTTAATGCTGAAAATGCTCTCCTTTATGAGAGCTTATTGAACCGGTAAAAAATATGCTCAGACAACAAGATTTAACTCATGGTAATAATTAAGTTCCACTTAGAAAATTAGCTTAGAGTAACGAGTTAATTGTGTGCCTCAATTTCATAGATTAGCAGTCGCCTTGAGGGCCGGCATTAAAGTACCAATTTTGAAAATGCGAAGTTTCACTTCTTTCTTGTATCACTGTAAAGAAAAGGCTGAAATAGCACTAAAGAAGCGCGGCGAGGGAGACTCTTCCCATCTTCCCCCGCGCTCTTTCTTTTTTTTTTGTTCTCCCCAGGCTCCCTACGACAAAAAGAGGCCTCTGCGAAGGAGAGAGTGATTTAGTAAAAAAAACCTAGCCTGAGTATCAGGCCTTCCTAAGGGGCTAGGCGAGAGGAGATTTAGATGGGGGAGGGGAGAGGGGGAAAAGAAAGGAAGGCGTTTCTCTCCTTCAGCTCTCTCCCATTTTCACTTCCATCTTTCCCCTTTTCTCCCAGAAACGTCAGATACTCAGGCTGCAAGAAAAACTACGATCTGTATCCTGTACTTGAAGGCTGTACCCAGGCGCCCTCCCTTTTTGCACGTCATGCAGAGATCCTCCTTCAAGTACCACGGACACGTTAGAGGAAATGGACACCGCAGGGCTATCCCTAATACTGCAATGCGGTTTTCTGCATGGCCATCATTTGTTCGTTTATTAGTTGTATTGTTATTTTTCTGTTGCAGTTTAAGACCGCAAAACCTGTAAACCGCCGCTTCCAAGGGACATTCCCAAACACGGTCAGTTCCAGTCTCCCGAGTGTCCGTTTATGGCACTGTTTCCACCCCACCACTGCGGTGCTCTACTTTAAAACAATCGTCACGGACAAATGTTTTATTAATAAAAGGACTAATTAGGCTTCTTTTGCACGACGCCGGACGAATTTACGACCAGATGAAAATTCGTGCCTTTAGGGACTGGTCAAAAAGTATAGGCGGGGGTGGGCCGGAGCAGAGAGGGGGTGGGTCATGAGGTTTTGAGCCTTGTGAAAGGGGTGGGTCGTGCAATTTTCAGCTACCCTTAAAGGGTGGGTCACCATATTTTTTACTAACTACTAACGAGACAGTTGACTACACTTGTTATATAAAACACAGCCAGATGGAATTATTGCTAAAATACTCACAAACCTGTTGTGCGAGAAAATACAAAGGTTGACAGGCCGCACATCTATATTTCTTTACTTCTTTATTTCGCACATCTACAATTTTTTTTTTCGGCTCTAACGAGCATGTCCTTTAACGATTTTCCTTTTTTGTAAGGAAATGATTGGTGGTTCTTTAAAAATTTATTAAAATAATAGTTGGTTTTGTATAAGATTCCATTTTTTCATTCAAGCTTCCTTTATAGTCGACACTAAGGGCTGGTATTGTGTCACGAATGACAATATTTCTTTTTCCTCTTTGTTGTTTTGTTTTAGGAGTTTAGACTCCCTTTTGTGAATTTTATTTCTGATAGTAGGTTTTCTATCAAAGATAGGAGGCACACAACGAGAATATAGTTCAAAACCACTTAAACATAGCATTGTTAAACGTATTTTAGTATTTAAACAGTAGATATAGGCATATTTTTATCCCCTAAAGATTTTTCATCTGTTCGGATCTCCTAGCTGAAAGTCTAGTGACACGAAAATTATAGGGATCAAAACTTACCTTTTCGAAAATTTCAGCCAGAAAAAAGGCTCCCGAAAATTCTAGGTGACCTTTTTAGGGTAAAAATCCGTTAAAAGTGGGCAATTATACCACTTTTTTAGATGTTCGAAAATCCGAGGAGGGGCAGACAAGCTAGAAATTTTACAAAAAATGTTTCAAAAAATTCTAGATCTCAAATCGTCTGTCGAACAGATATTTTCCGAAAATTGACGTTGGGTGCCCCTGAAAGACTGTGGGTAGCCTCTGTCCGTCAAGCGTTTTTTTTTTAAATTTGAATTATTTTCCTCAAAGGTTGTTTCTGAGGAGGCTTCTCCTTTGACAAATTCTTTTTTAACATTTGGACGGTGACACGAGGTGAAATGTGTGTGCAAGAAGCTTTCCGTTTGTTTAAAATGTGTCTTTCCATCAAGGATAGATTCTTCCTTGAATCTTGTGCCTTAACCGTGTCTAAAAACGCAGTCTCAGTGTCAAATGTTTCGACCGTGAATTGAAGACGAAACTCACTTTTTATTAGATTGTCCAAGTTTCTCTTCGATAAGAGATATGTTCTTCTCTACACTAGAACCTAAAATACCGTTTCTACGACTACAATCACATGAGTCCCTATTAACACATCTGATGAATTCTACTGACTATTTTATTAACATCCAATTAATTTCATTTATATCAACTTGCTTTGAATTGAGAGACAAACTTATCTCCGGAATAATTAATCCTACTGATGGTTAGAAATAAACAATGATTAATAAGTTTCAAATTATTTTAAATATTTAATTTACAAGGAATCAATGAGTAATTTCAAGTAGCTTTTGCAATACTGTAATACTTTGTTATGGTCATGCAAATAAAGCTTATTGTTGCTGTCAATAGTTGGGTGATGTAAGCTTGCTTGTTCAATGAAGGCTTCGATGTCTGGTTTACTCATGTCCCATAGGGAAAAGATATCGTGTATGTGGCATTTCCAAACTGTTGTTCTAAAGACAGTTTTGCTTAGAGTTGTTGTTTCAATATATGTCATGAAAATATTGGCAAAGGAATCAAAACTGCTGTCTTTGTGCCCATTGCAGTTCCATGGTTTTGTAGGTAGTGCTTTCCACTGAAGTGGAAGAAATTCTCTTTGAGGATTAATATAAGCATTTCCGGCAAGTAATGTGTCGGAATGGGTTGTCTTTGTTGAAATTTTCATATGCTTTGTGACAGATAATTTCAATATACCCTCGTTTTGCTGTATATTTGTGTCAAGACTCATAACGTCCATTGAAACAAGAAATGTTCGGTTTTTCACATTCGTCTTTTCAGTGAAAGGTATGATTTCTGTGATTTTGATATTGGTTGTAGCAGTGTATCAACAAATTTTGTCAAGTACAGAACAAGGTTTTATTGGATTATTAAGAGGAAACCGAAAGTTCATGTTTTAACTAGGGGGTGGGTCATGCAATTTCCAACCTTGCTTTAGGGGTGGGTCAGTCATTTTTGTGCCCAAGGGAGGGGGTGGGTCATGTGTTTTTTATCAACCACGTTTCCAAATGCTCCGGCCCCCCCCCCCCCCTATACTTTTTGACCAGTCCCTTAGTTGTACCGTTCACACGCAACCCCTGTTAACCATATGAAAATGAAGACGCCTTGCCGTTCAAAAGTTTAAACGCCAGATCGAGGTCAGATTTTTAGCCTCGAACTTGTTGAAAATTTGACCGGCGTGGCTGCCTCGTTCCTAGGCGTCTCAAGTGCGGAAAACCGAAAACGCGACTGCACGAGCGCGCCATCAAGGAGTATCGCGCAATGGACCATGGGAACGTTTAGCGTGAACGCAAAGGACGCTGGGAAGGGTAAACGAGAAAAATGAGGGTAAGCACTACATGGTAGCGCACCGTATAGTCGTGCAACATAAATTAATTGAACACTGTGCACAGCGTCTTGTAAGTAGTACGCATTTCTCAAAACTCCTCTTTTCTGTACTTTCTACTCCTCGCTTGTCCCTTGTGTCCTTTTATGTCCTTACTAGTCCTTTTGTGTCCTTACGAGTCCTTTTATGTCCTTTTACGTCCGTATTAGTCCTTTTGCGTCCTTACTAATCCTTTTCTGTCCTTACTAGTCCTTTTATGTCCTTACTAGTCCTTTTATGTCCTTTTACGACCTTATTAGTCCTTTTGTGTCCTTACTAATCCTTTTCTGTCCTTATTAGTCCTTTTATGTCCTTACTAGTCCTTTTATGTCCTTTTCTGTCCTTATTAGTCCTTTTGTGTCCTTACTAGTCCTTTTGTGTCCTTACTAATCCTTTTCTGTCCTTATTAGTCCTTTTATGTCCTTATTAGTCCTTTTATGTCCTTTTACGTCCTTATTAGTCCTTTTATGTCCTTACTAGTCCTTTTATGTCCTTTTCCGTCCTTACTAGTCCTTTACCGTCCTTTTCTGTCCTTTTCCGTCT